CAAACATATACATATATACGTATACATGTCATATCCATTATATAAGTTTGTGCCCTTCTTTCCACTTAAGATTAAAAAGTGAATATTTCCCAATTATTACAAACATTTTAATGGTATCATCCGAAAACACTGGCCATTATATAAAACCTCTGCTTATCTCCTCATCCTCACCTTTAAAAAAAAATCTTTCCCTCTGTTAGTTTTCAAAGCAATATATTGGTATCCTAGCATTCCCCTACAGGTGAAAGTGACGTTTTTAAAAATTTTTATTTGAACTCCTTATGTCTGCCCCCTCCTTCCCAGCCCTACTCCACCCCTGCCTCATCCCTCTGTTTTCTTTCCCCACATACACGCGCTTCTGTCCCCACTCTGAACCTCTGTCCCACCTTCCCCCAACCGCTAGCTGTTCTCTCACTTGCATGTCATTTTCCCCTCTGCTGGCTCTCTTAGCTCATAAACATGCCACAGTTTGCCGATCTTTACAAACAAACCAGCCTCTTGATGTATGTTCCCTTCTCATTTTTTGAAAGAATAGACTGTGTTTGTTGTGCCCACTCCCTCACCTCTATTCTCTTAGTCTCGTGTGACCTCTTTTCTGCTCTCAATTCTTTCACATTCTGACCAGTAAGCTCGCTGGTATCCTTCTGATTGCCAAACGCTGCCGCCACTCTTGAGGCCTTGTCTTATGTGGCCTCTCTGCCTCATCTCACATACTGTTCAGCTTTTTCTTTTAAAAGTAACTGTTTAATTTCAGAAATACTTATTTTCGAAAACTTAGAAGCAGATAAATCACTATTAATAGTTTGTTACATTTTCTTCTTGACATTCTCTTATCCCTTCATTTTCATGAAACCATTTTCTCCTGTTGTATTTTTTTTTCTTCCTATTCCTCAGTTTATTTGGTAAACTTCCTTGCTTCACCTGTCCTTTAAATAGTGGCATTCTCCAATGTTCTGCCCTTAGCTTTATATTCTTAACTTTTCAACTTCTCTTTGGGTATTTTCATGATGGCCTTTGTAAAAGAAGTTAATCTCTGCACATACCCACACATCCTCACACGGTAAAGTGTGCACACGCCTACAGTTTCAAAGCCTATAATTCCAAAGCCTGTTGTCACAGTAAGTCATTCTTTTCCCATTTCTCTTCCCTAGAGTCAACCACTGGGTTATCCTCCTAGAGAGATAATGTGTATATGCTAGTACAGATGAATTTATATATTTACTTATATAATTGTTTTCAAAGTATTTATAAATGGCAGTATACTCCATACTTAGTTGTATCTTTTCCACCTCACAGTATGTAGGAGATGACCTTATATCAGTGTACGGCGATCTGTTACATTCATTTTAGTGGTTGCATAGCATTAAAAAAAATTTGTATTCCCCTTTCCTCCCACTGCATTTTGTTTTGGAAGAATTCAAACTTACAGAAAGATTTAAAAAACAATATAATTAGCACCCACCTGTATACCTACTTACCGTTCTTTTTCTTTCTTTCTTTCTTTCCTGAATCATGTGAAAGTAAAATTGTAGGTATCATGACAGTTTATTTCAAAATTATTCAGTATATATGCCTTAAGGACTAGGAATTCTACATAATCACAATACCTTTATTACACCAAAGATTTTTAAGATCAGTGCAGTATTATCTAATAGAAAATTAATATTCAAATTTCTACAATTGACTAAATATCTTTTATAGTTTTTTTTCTCTCTCCATTCTAGGAGCCCATCAAGAATTAAGACTCATGTTTGATTGTCCTAGGCCTTCATTTAACAACTGTTTAAATAGATGACTAAAGTAGGATCTCTAGATCCAACTCTTTCCTGAAGCTGCCTTAAATCTATGAAATGTAATTATTTGGATGTCACACTGGTTCCTCCAAAATAGCATGTCCAAAATGAACTCATTTTTTTCTGCTCTCAAACCTACTTTTCCTCCTGTATTCCCAACTTAGTGAATGGTATCATTCAAATGTTTCCTTAAGAAGAAGACTTGGAGTCATCCTAGGCTCTTTCCTCTTTGGGACTGTATGTGCTACTCCCTTTGCCTGGAATTCTCTCCCTACCTTCTCTACCTTTCCACTAGTTCATTCTTCAAGACCCAGATTAAGCTTTACTTCCTCGAGCACACCTTTTCTGACTCTTTTTTTTCTCCAGGCGGAATTAGATGTGTCTCCAGTAGTCCCCTTTTATACCCTGTACACACACCTGTCCCATCAGTTATCCCTTTGAATGGGAATTGTTGGTTAATGTATCTGCCTTCTTAATCAGAAAGCAAGCTCCTTGAGTTCATATGAATTTAGTTGTCTTCTATTCCAGGTCTAGTAATATAATACCTGACTCCTAAGTGTTTAATGAATATTTATTGAATGGAAAATATATTTATAGACAATCTTTGGCAAGTCCATAGAAATAGATTTTTTTAAGCTCAACTCAACTTGGCATGCATTTGTTGAATTCCTACTATGTGCAGTTTCATGCAAGTAGTAAGATTGATTTTCTGCCTTCAAGAAAGGTTAGGGTGGTAGGATTGGGGGAGTGGGCAAAAATGGGTGAAGGGGATCAAGAGGTACAAATTTCCAGTTATAAAATAAATAAGTTATGGGAGATGTAATGTCAACATGGTGATTATAGTCAATAATGTGTTGTATATTGAAAATAGCTAAGAGAATACTTAAAAAGTTCTCATCACAAGAAAAAGTTTTGTAACTTTGGTGACAGATGATAACTAGATTTATTATGCTGATCATTTTGCAATATATACAAATAAAGAATTGTTATGGTGTGCACCTGAAACTGATAAAATGTTATATGTCAATTATACCTCAATTAAAAAAAAAGAGGTTGGGGTCTACTTGAGAAGATAAGGCCAGTATACTACAGGTTTAAACAATACTAGAAGGTAATCTAATTATCTGATAAATGATGCAGACAGTAACCTCAGGGAGAGAGAAGTTGGTGAATGAATTTGAGTACTTACTGTGTGCCAGTTAGCGTTCTGTGTGTTTGCAAATGTTATTTAATCTCTACAACTTTTATTTTTTAAAAAAGGAAATTGAAGTTAAATAGTCCAAGACCATACAGATAGTAAATAGACTTGAACCCAGGTCTGACTGACTCCAGGAACATGCTCTTAAGTGTTCCAAAGGCAATTAAGAGAGTTATAAAGTGATATTATAAATTAAGGGAAAAAACCAATATCCAATTATAGGGTAATTAAATCAATGGTATATCCCCACAATGAAAGGTTATATAATTGCTACAAATCATGTGGTTGAGGAATATTCAGTATCTTGAGAAAGTGTTTATGATATAATGTGTAGTACTACTAAAAAGCAGTATATAAAAGTATGATTCCGTTTTTTTAATGTACATATATTTTTGTATAGAAAGATCGGAAGGAAATACATGAAATGGTTAGTAATAATCCCAGGGTTATGGTATTATAGACTATATGAATTTCTTTTTTGTAACAGTCTGTTTTCCGGATTCTGTACAATGAACATAAGCTTTTATAATCAGAAAAAAAATCATTTAAAAAATAAAGGATTAAGAAAAAACAAGCAGAACTTAAAGTCTTAGAATTATTAAAGTTAGAAAGGTTTTGTGACCTTCCGTGCCTCTGAGGTAGAACAGACCTAAGCATCCCAGACAGATTAATGGTTCCTATTTTTAAGATCATCTCACTAAGATAAGCAACTGTCCCTCTGCCTTATGGTCAGTTCTGTTGCCCGATGGCAAGTGGAAAAGGAATTTTCTCTGTATATTATTTCATGAAGACATGGTCATGAGAGACACTCCCATGTCTTGTGAAAATTTTCATTGTGTAAGATATTTTTTCTAAAATAAGGGCCAAATGTAATGCTCCTGCCTGGGCTTTATGTTTTACCTCATAAAACACTGAAAGAAATTTAATATAGATATTTAAGAGGAATCAAAGAGATTAGAAAAACTTGGGTTTTCTGTTAGTTTTCCATTAGTTTTCTTTGAAAAGAAACATTCTGCATATGATGTATCTCTTTTTCTTCTGGGTGGCTGTTTTTCTTGCACAGCATGTGTGACTGTTCTCATTGGGATTTAGCACACTCTAGTGGACAGTAACTTTTCAGTTTTTTTTTTTAATCATGTCAAATTACTTTATTGGATGATTCAATGATCTGCTTACCTGATAGTAAGGTTTGTCAATGTTTATTTGAGTCAAGTAGTGATCTTAGTGAGCGGGACTTGACTTTATAGGCCACTGGGGTGTTATACATCTTTATATGTTGTTTTTTTTTTTCCCTGTAGAGAGGTTTTTTACTTTATGTGGAAATTTTCCCATTGGCTTTCATCTTTTCTTGGGTTAACTAAGAAAAGAGGCAGAGCTGAAATAAAACAAGAGCATTTATTTGGGGTCTCAGAATTGCAACTTGGGGAGCACAGATTGGGTAGCAACCCAAATTGTGTCCCTTTAGGGTACAAAAGTCAAGGGTTTAAAGAAGACAGAAAGGAATGTTTGTATGTGTTGTTTACAAAGAATTTTGTTTGGTGTTGGCATCAGAAAACTAATCTTGGCTGAATATAATTGGTTGCTAAGGCTGTCCCTAAGCAAATTCTCTTACTATAGCAAATTGCAGGGGTTCAGACAGAGTCCTTGGAATATTTGTAGTTTGGCCCAGTTCAGAGTTCATGGTTTCATCAGGTGAGGACGTGCATAAATCTAGAGGAGATGGCCTCTGACACCATTTTAAAACTCCTTGACATAAGTGATTTCATTTTCATTTAACCTTTCACACATGGGTAAGATGAAATTCATGGGCCAAAATACAGAGGAAGACTGGTAGTCTCTGTACCTAACACTCCTTGGAACTTTTAGGACTCTTGAGAATTTTTATATACCATTTTGATAAAAATTTGACCATTTGTGCATAAACATTGCCGTATCCTATGCTGATGGATTATTTTTGGGAATGGGCTTCCACCAGGAAAAAAGTAACTTTTTAATTTTGTTTTTTGCAGAGTGATGGTGAAGATTTTAATTACGTTGTTGCATTTTTCCTTGGAACAGCAGCCTGCCTTTACCAGGTAGGTTCTCTCCAATTTTTGAGAAACACTTTCCTATTATTGTTTCAGGTATTAATTCTCTTAATTGTGCACTTAAATAAATAAAAATAATGTCTGAGTTCTTTGCCTCTCTTTTGAGCCTCTGTTAACTTTATGATCTACATCTCTATTTTGAATGGACCTAGATCCCAGTGTACTTAATGTTAACACTCTTCTCTGCCAGGTTTCAGTGGTAGTATGTCATCTGCCTGTGGCGGTAAAGGCTATTTCTAGATTTTTTGGTTATTGATTATTGAGCCTCAGGGCTCTGCTTATACTTCAGCGTGAGGATTTTGTACTTTTGGGAAAGTCTTTGAACAGGCAACAGCAAAAGCAGGATCCTCAAACTGAGGAATGTCTTTGCTGAAACATGGTACAGCAAGCAATACCTTTTGACCTAACTTTTGTAAGCGACACATTTCTCTGGCTTGCATAGAGAGAATGTTAGATTCAGGACTGCAAACATAAGGCTACCTAAAAAACTCAATAGAAGTCTCTAGTGAAATACTTTGAATATATGCATTTGACTTTACGTAAAGATAGACTAGAGATTTTAGTTTCAAGTGGCCCTGTTTTTTAAAAGCCCCTAATTTTTCTTAATCATTTGTATTTAGAAATTTTCTATACACTTTGACAGATTTAATTATAATGAATGACATTTCATGCAGGAAACATGAACACTTGTTAATGTCACAAGTGCTTTAATTTTATGTAGCATTCTTGTATAGATTTTTTTTTAAACTTTAATCTCTACAGTTCTGTCACACAGAGGATATTATCTCATTTTTGAAAATGAGAAATCTGAGGCAGTTTGAAATCACATGGCCCAGTAAGCGGTAGAGTCAGGACTTAACTCTGGGTCTTCTGATTTTAAATATTGTATTCATTCACTATATTATGCTGTTTGTAAGCACAATTCCTATATTTGTATAATTTCTATAAAGCTATAAAATTATAATTTTATAACTCTTATATGCATTATTTCATATGATTCTAAAACAATGTGAGGTAAATGTTAACTTTAAAATAATTTTATGAGGAGTTTTTGTAAAATGTACTTTTGGCTGCTTGGCCTTAGTGAAATGATTTTATTCATTTATTATATTTTAAAAATTACTTTTTATCAAAGAGCCTTAATGAAATAATTTTAAAGACTACTTATAATTGCAAACTGTATTGCGCTCCTACTGTGTGCTAAGCCCTTTATATTCCATGTGCCCAGGAAATCTTCACAGGAAGTCCCACGCTAGTCTTGTTATGATTGCCATTTTTCACTGAGGTCCATCTAGCCAGTTCATGCAGTCAGCGGCTCAAGCCCCGGTCTGCAGGACTCCAGATCAGTGCTGTTGTTTAGAGAGAGAACATACCTCTGCTACCTTCCCCGGAACAGCTGAAGAGAGTTCTCAGAGGAGCGCTGTCACTCAGGGATTCTTGTACTTGAGAGAAGTTAAATGGATTCATGCTTTAAAAAAGAAAAGCAGAAAGCCAGTTTTCTTATTGACAGGCATGAAACTGCATGCTTTCCAAATATGCTGAGCAGAGTGATAATAACGCTGGCTTTTTCCACAGTAAAACATACGTGATTATATTTTACCCTATGACATGCTCCGTCTCCAGTTGTCAGAGTGTTTTTTAATCCCCTTTAGATCAGACCTCAGAGGCTAAGGCCACATAGTTTGTTGTCTTTTTCTCCAGGCTGTGGGTATTTATGGACACACAGAGCTCAGCCAAATAGAAGTAATCTTGCTGTGGAACATTTGAAAGAGGAAATCAAAGGATCTAGAAACTAGAGACTGTTCTTTTTTCCCCTCAGTGCTTTATTTTGAAAACTCTCATACTTCCAGAAAAGTTGAAAGACTAGTATACTTAGAGCCACCAATTATTAACATTTTGTAACACTTTCTCTATCTCAGTCTCTCTTTGTATGTACATGCCTATAGTATGTTTATTAGTTGTTTATAAAGTAAATTGCAGACACGTGAGTATACAGTTGTTTTTCCTAATAAACTTTTTATTTTGAGATAATTGTGATTGTTATAAGAGAGATATATAACCTTTACCTGGGTTTCCCCCAGGAGTACTGTCTTGCACAACTATGATACATTATCTCAGCCAGGAAATTGATGTCATTTTGGGCAAGATATAGAACATTCTTATTGCTACAAGCACCCCTTTGAAGTTGCCCTTTTAGAGCCACATCCACTTCCCTCCTGCCCCTTCATCTCTGGCAACCACTAATGTGTTCTCCATTTCTAAAATTTCCTCATTTTAAGTAATGTTATATAAAGGGAACCATATAGTATGAACTTCTTGTGATTGGCACTATTTTGCTCAGTATAATTCTCTGGAGATTTATCCAGGTTGTTGCATACATCAATGGTTTGTTCCTTTTTGTTGCTGAATGGTATTCCAGGGTATGGATGTAGCACAGTTTGTTTAATCATTCACCCATTGAAGGGCATCTGGGTTGTTTCCAATTTGGGGCTATTATAAATAAAGCTGCTATAAACATTCATGTACAGGTTTCTGTGTGAACATAAGTCTTCGTTTCTCTGAGATAAATGCTCAGGAGTGCAATTGCTAGGTCTTGTAGTAGTTGCATGCTTAGTTTTATTGAGACAGACCCAGTTCTCCAGAGTGGCATTCCATTTTACATTTACATTTTACATTTTTACATCACTCACAGCAGCATTGTGTGAGTGATCCAGTTTCTCCATATGCTCTCCAGCATTTGTTGTTATCACTATTTTTTATTTTAGCCATTCTGATAGGTGTGTAGTAATCCCTCACATTGGTTTTAATTTGCATTTCCCTAATGGCTAAAAATGTTGAACATTGTTTCATGTACTTATTTGTTACTTATGTGTCCTCTTGGGTGAAATGTCTTTTCATGTCTTTTGCCTATTTTCTAATTGGATCATTTGGTTTTTACTGTCAGGTTTGAGAGTTCTAGCCATCTAGCCCATGTCAGAAATGTAATTTGCAAGTATCTTGTCCCAGTCTGTAGCTTGTCTTTTCATCCTCTGAACCAGGTCTTTTGAAGAGCAAAAGTTTTTAATTTTGATAAAGTTCATTTTATCACTTCTTTCTTTTATGGAATATGTTTGTGGTATCAAGTCTAAGAACTTTTTTTTAATTGAAATATAGTTGACACATAGTGTTAACTAGTTTCAGGTGTGAACATAGTGATTCCACAAGTTTACGCCTTATGCTGTGCTCATGACAGTGTAACTACCATCTGTCACCATTATAATTCCATTGATTCAAGTCAGAGAACTCTTTGCCCACTCCTGGACCCTGAAGATTCTCTCCTTTGTTTTCTTCTAAAAGTTTTTTTTTTTTTTTTTAAAGATTTTATTTATTTGACAGAGACACAGCGAGAGAGGGAACACAAGCAGGGGGAGTGGGAGAGGGAGAAGCAGGCTTCCCGCCGAGCAGGGAGCCTGATGTGGGGCTCGATCCCAGGATCCTGGGACAATGACCTGAGCCAAAGGCAGACGCTTAACGACTGAGCCACCCAGGCACCCCTAAAAGTTTTAGTTTTATGTTTTACATTAAAGTTCATGATCCATTTTTATTTATTTAGAATGTAAACCTATTTCTAGGATTTATTCTTTTTCTTTGTGCTTCCACAGTGACCACATAGGCTTTTATTTGTCTTTCACATTGGGATTGTTGTATTATTCAGTCTTGCCACCTCTGGTTTCCTCAAATACTCTGTTAGATTACTGGAAAACACTATCATTACTCAAGACTCCACAGCGTCTTCCTACTCTCTACCGTATGATGCTTACATTACTCAGGCTAGTATATCAGCCCTCCATAATTTGGCCCCACTCTACTTAAATCATCAAAGTGGATTTCCTGCTACTCTCCAGGGACATCCTGCACCCTAGAGTGGCCTCGTCACTGTGCCACCCCAGGCCTTTTCTGTGACTCTGCTCATTCTGTGCACTGTTCTCGTAACTGCCTTCCTTGTACTCCCCTTGTGCCCCTCTCTTACACATCCTTAGGAGGCTCCATGCCTTCCATGTCGACCTCCCTCCCCCGCCCCCCCCGCCCCAGTGGAACTCTCGGAGTCTGTCCTTTCAATCCCGGCTGCAGCCTAATGCCTCACGGTTCTGCCACCATTTCTCATGTGCTAATATGGACCCCCCAGCTGTTTTGAGAGCTCTGTGAGGGCAGGCAATGCTAATCATAATCTTCTTTTCTCTTCCCACTTGGTTTCTGCAAAGTGCTGAGCAGAGGGAAAGCCCTGGCCAACTCCTGAGGAGGGTGCTATGAGGAGCAGGTTCCTGGGCAGTGTCCTCTTCTTTCCCCCATTCTTTCCAGAAGCCTCTCACGAGGAGGCCCGGTGCAGTGGCAGAAGCAAGTTAAAGGAAGCCCTGGAATGGTGGGGTTCTCAACCCTGGCTACCTATTATAAGCATTTGGGGAACTTTAAAAAATATAACTGCTTGCTCTCTTCCTTCTCCCGCCCTGCTCAGAGGTTTAGAATTTAATTGGCCTAAGGCAGGACAGCACTGATGTGTTCTCTAAAGCTCCCTAGCTGACTCTAGTGGTTTCACTAACTGAGCCCTACTGCTTTCAGGCCCCAGCCCTTTTGGCATGCGCCCCTTCCAGCACTTTCCCGTCTTGTTTCCAGGCAGGAAGTCATCCTAGCACTGGCCAGAAACTCCAAAGAGACTGTCTTTAGATAAATACTCTGGCATCAGCTATAGCCTGGAGGACATTAGGAGAAGGAAGGGGAAAATGAAGGGGGGAAATCAGAGGGGGAGACGAACCATGAGAGACTATGGACTCCGGGAATCAAACTGAGGGTTTTAGAGGGGGACAAGGGATGGGTGAGCCCAGTGATGGGTATTAAAGAGGGCATGTATTGCATGGAGCACTGGGTGTTATACGCAAACAATGAATCATGGAACACTATATCAAAAACTAATGATGTACTGTATGGTGACTAACATAATAAAAAAAATAACAAAATAAACACCTTTGAAAATCATGATCCATTTTTAATTAAGTTTTGTATAGGTTGTATTGAAATGACTTAGATGATTAGATTGAGGGATTTTTGTGTTTTTGGTTTTGAGTTTTGATTTTCTTGGTTTTGTGTTGTTTTGTTTGCTTGTGAATGAATGGCCAATTGCTCCATTTTTTAAAAAGGCTTTTTTTCTCCCCTGAATTGCTTTTGCATCTTTGTCAAACATCAGTTGGGTATATTTGTGTAAGTCTATTTCTGAGTTTTGTATTCTGTTTTATTGATCTGTGTATTAGTCTCTCTGCCAGTACCACATAGTATTGATTACTGTGACTGTATAATCTGTATTAAGTTCCATTTTCTTAATAGTTACACAGTTATTCAAATTATCTTTCTCATAATACATGAATTATGATAGTTTGTATTTTATGAGGAAGTGATCTATTTCATCTTACCAAGTTTATGTGTGTAGAATTGGTTGTAGTATCCCCTTACTGTCTCTCTCTTTGGTGTCTGTATGATCTGTGGTGATATCCTCTACTTCATTCCTCATATTGGTAATTTGTATCTTCTCTTTTTCTTTGTCAGACTTACTTGTTAATTTCATTGATCTTCTCAAAGAACCTGCTCTTTGTTTTGTTGTTTTTTTCATATATTCAATTTTTACTGATTTCTGCTCAATTTATTATTTCCTTCTTCATGCTTGCTTTGGGTTTATTTGACTCTTGTTCTAGGTTCTTGAGATGGGAGCTTTGATAATTGATTTGAATTTTTCTCTTGTAATACATACTTTTAGCATTATACATTTCTCTGTTTTGAGCACTTTATTATCTGTGTCCCATAAATTTTGATATGTTGCATTTTTTTCATTTTATTTTTTTCTTTCCAAGTTTTTATTAAATTCCAGTTAGTTAACATAGTGTAATATTAGTTTCAGGTGTAGAATTTAGTGATTCATCACTTAAATACAACACCCAGTGCTCATCACAATAAGTTCCCTCCTTAATACCCATCACCTCTTTCACCCATCCCTCTGCCCACCTCCCAGCAACCCTCAGTTTGTTCTCTGTGGTTAAGAGTCTGTTTCCTGGTTTGCCTCTCTTCACCGCCCCCATCTCTTCTATTTTGTTTCTTAAATTCCACATATGAATGAGATCATATGGTATTTGCCTTTCTCTGACTGACTTATTTTGCTTAACATAATACTTTCTGGCTCCCTCCATGTCATTGCAAATGGTAAGATTTCATTCTTTTTTTAAGGCTGAGTAATATTCCATTATAAATATACACACACACACATATATTTAAATTTGTATATATATAAAAATGGAATATTATATACACATATAATGGAATATACATAGGAATAGAATATATAATGGAATATATATAGGAATATAATGGAATATATATATACAATGGAATTAATACACACACACACACACACACACACACACCCACCCACCCACACACCCACACACCCACACCCCCATGTCATCTTTATCCATTCATCAGTCAGTTGATATTTGGGCTCTTTCCATTGGCTGATATGTTGCATTTTATTTTCATTTAATTTAATGTATTTAAAAAATTTTTTCCTTGTGGCTTCCTCTTCGACCTACGGATTATGGGTTATTTGGAATTGTGTTTTGCGTCCAAGAGTTTGGAGATTTTCCAGTTTTCTTTCCATTATTGATACCTAGTTTGATTCCATTGTGGTTGGAAAACACTCTGTGTGATTTCAGTTCTTTTAAATTTGTTGTAATTTATTTTGTGGCTCAGAATATGGTCTGTCTTGGTATATGTTCCATGAGCACTTAAACAGAATGTGTATTCTACTGTAGCTGAGTAAGTGCTCTATAAATGTCAATTAGGTCGCGATGGTTGATGGTATTCAATTTTCCGTATCCTTGTTGATTTTCTGTCTAGTTCTATCAGTTGAGAGAGGAGTATTGGAAGTTTTCAACTATGATTGTGGATTGGTTTCTCATTTCAGTTCTATCAGTTTTTGTAGCTTTGTTTGGCTCATACGCATTTAGGATATATTGCCTTCTTAGTGGACTGATCCATTTATCACTATATATCATTATATAATATCTTATATAATGATATCCTTCTCCAGCCCGTTCTTTTTTGGAAATATATTTATCTGATATTAATATAGCCATTTCTGCTTTCTTCTGTTTAATGTTTGCATAATATATTCTCCATCTTTTTACTTTAACCTTGCCTATATCAGTTGAAGTGAGTTTCTCGTAGACAGATTAAAAGCTGTTTTTAATCCATTCTGCTGATCTCTGTTTTTTAATTGTTGTATTTAGGCCATTACATTTAATGTAACATTAATATATCAGGGTTTAAGTTTGCCATTTTATTTTTTTGTTTTCTGGTTTTCATTTTTATGTTTTCTTTCTCCTCTCTTTCTGTGGGTTACTTGAACATTTTGTAGAACTCCATTTTGATTTATCTGTAGTGTTTTTGAGTTTATTTCTTTGCATAGTTTTTTTTTTTTTTAGAGAGAGAGAGAGTATACCCGTGTGCGCAAGATTGGGAAGGAGGGGCAGAGGGAGAAGGAGAGAAAATCCCAAGCAGGCTTCACACCTAGCCTGGGTCCCTACGCGGGGCTCAGTCTCACAACCCTGAGATCATGACCTGAGCCAAAATCAAGAGTGGGACGCTTGACTGACTGAACCACCCATCTACCCCTCTTTGTATAGTTTTTAAATGGTTGCTCTGGGTATTGTGTTACACGTACTTATCAGTTTTTTGGTGTTGTCATTTTACTAGTTCAAGTGGAACATAGAAATTGTATCTCCTTTTATGTCCCTTTGCCCTCCTCTGTTTATAATATAATTGTCTTAAATAGTTCCTCTACATATATTTAGAACCACATCAGACAGTGTTATGAATTTTTACTTCAGTCATCAATTTAGAAATCTCAGGAGGGGAAGGAGAACCTATTACATTATTTTGCTGACTGTTCTTTTTTGCTTTCTCAGTGTTCCAGGGTTTCTTCTTTTATTGTTTCCTTTCTGCTTAGAGATCTTCCTTTAGCCATTCTTTTAAGGTGTATCTGTAGATGTCAAATTCTGTTAGTCTTTCACCTGAGAATGTCTTTATTTCTCCTCCCACAAGACAACTTACTAACTACAAAGGGAAAAATAGTTACTTCACAGTGGAGAAACCTGTCAGACACCACCTTACCAAGAGATCAAAGTTAACATCACCAATTATAAGACATATCGCACATCATCTCTCTGGTATTCTTGCCCAGACTGCATGTCCTCACTTCAGTCTTGAGACAATATCAGGCAAACCAAAATTAAGGGACAGTCTACAAAATAACTGATTGATATTCTTTAGACTGTCAAGGTCATGAAAAACAGACTTGAGGAACTATAACAGATTTGAAGAGATATAACAGCTAAATGCAATAGGGAATCCTGGACTGGATTCTGGATCAGAAAAAGAGCCTTAGTTAGGACAACTGGCAAAATTCCAATAAAGGCTGTAGATTAGTCTACAGTATTGTATCAATGTTAATTTTGTAGTTCGATGATTATGCTGTGCTTATGCAAGAAGATAACATTAGGGGGAGCAGGGTGAAGGATGTATAAGAACTCTACGATTTTTACAACTCTTTTCTAGGTCTAAAATTATTTCAAAAGGAAAAATTATTTTTCCAACTTTTTTTACACAATGAAAATCACTCAAAATAAGACCTTACAGTTCATTTTGCTTGGATAGCAGTCTTCTTTTTAAGTAAGCAAAGTCCTAATTTGTGTAAGAAATAAAAAGATTAACAGAACATTTCCACATTCTTTCTGCATTGTTACAAACACCCTAAAGTCCTTCCTGTACTGAAGCCTGGATAGAATTTCACACAAAGACCTCTGCTTCTTTCTTAAGACTTTGTAATCACATATAATTACTATATTTAACAGATTGTGAATTTTAGATATCTTCTAGAAAACAGTTCATTCAGTCAACAAATTTTTATTGAGCACCTACTGTGTGCCATGCACTATTTTGGGCCCTGGATAATTGAGTGAACAAGACAGTAAAAAAAAATCTCTCCTTTCATGAAGCTTAGATCCTATTGGAAGAATATATATATATATAACAAAACAAGCATATTTTTAAAGTGTGTTTATAGTTATATTGTGGAGAAAAATAAAGCAGGAAGAGGTGAATGCCAGGATTTGGGGCTTATGGGGGGTAGTTTCTTTATTATATTTTCTAAAATAGCACTTACTACATTCTCTGTCCCCTTGTTCCATCTTTTATTTTAAGACATAACTATTTGGTATTTTATATACATATATATGATCTTTTATATATATAATCTTTCTCCCTCCATTAGAATTTAAGCTCCATGTGAGCAAGGGCTTTATTTGTTTACTGGAAGCTAAAGAACAATGCCTAACTTGTAGCTGGCCCTCAATAAACATCTGTTGAATGAATTCTACCTCATATTCACTCAGATACTCTACCTTGCTTATTAGTTCCTAGGCACTTAATGGGGGATCAGTAAATATTTGTGGATTTCATTAATATGCAGACTCAGATTATATGAGACCATTTTGCTATGGTTTGTTTGAGGTTTTTTGTACTTTTCTGGGGTGAGAATGAGAGATGGAATCCCCTCAGACCCTGAGAATGCTTTATAGTTGCCTGTCACCTTGAGGAATGTGTTCAGCCTGTTTGCAAGGGAGTCATCCAGTTGTAACTCCATTTTAAATATGATACAAAATGTTGTGTCTTTTGACAAATGACAAACATAAAAGGAAAAATCTGTTTTCCTTTCAAGCTGTAGAGCTTTCATAGCTGAATGTCTTAAAGAGGCTACATTATCTTATCTGTAGATGAAACATCCCTTTATTCCACTCTTAAATTTTACCCTGTGGCCTGTTAAAATTTTGTAGTAGAAGCATCTATTTCTTTTCTTGTAACCCTAATCATCTTTCATTTTATATTTTGAACAGTGTTATTTACTTGTCTACTACACCGGCTGGCGGAATGTCAAATCTTTTTTGACTTTTGGTTTAATCTGTCTGTGCAACATGTATCTCTATGAACTGCGCAACCTGTGGCAGCTTTTCTTTCATGTGACTGTGGGGGCGTTCGTTACACTGCAGATCTGGCTAAGGCAAGCCCAGGGCAAGGCTCCTGATTATGATGTCTGACACCATCCTTCAGACATGTTGCCCTGGCTTCTGGGGAAAAAGGAAGAGGGAGCCTATCTTAACTGCCACTGTGATGAAGAAACTGTTCACCACATTCAAGAAGCTCTGCTTTCTTTCTGTCCAACTATCCTGTTTGTTTTAAGTCAGCATGGCATGCCTGGGAGCATGCGGTACCTGCTAGGCCGACTCCTCACGTTAGCCGTGAGATTATTATTCAGAGGAGGAGGAGACTGCTCTCCACACGGCCATGGCAGCGGAAGAACAGTCAGAAGCCATTGGAAGAATTGGCCAGCGGTCCTGAATCCTTCTGAAGAGTTCAATCAAAAACTGTGTGTGGTCCATGCTCTGAGGACCAAGCGGGGACCCTACAGCCTGGGTTCGCCTTTGTGAGGCCTAAGTAGAGCCTAAATAAAAAGATGCCGTGGAGTTTCTGTTTCAGACGACTTGCTAAATATCAGATTACATGCACATTTTTGGTACCAAGAGTTTATGAAGTCCAGGATGGTGTGGAATTGGTTCTTTTTCCTTTTATATTTTTGCTTGAATCTTAACTTACCTGGAAATCACTTGATATAGGAGAAGGCTTTTTTGAGCTTATCTCTAGAACATCACAAGTATTGAAAACACAGTAACATCTGTTTCCTTTCTAGACCATGTTTGTAGTTTCTTTTGAAATTACTTTTTAAACATGTGATTTGTTAGATTATATAGCCATTGTTCCCCAAACTTCAGTCACTTGAGTATTACATATACTGTTATTTCTTAGTATTTATCTTTTAAATCTTCAGATAGTTTAAAAAACAAACTAATCTCTACTCCTCCGAGAGGAAAACCAGCATCTATTTACCAGGAATAACTACAAAATAAAACAAAAGATGTTACTAAATTCTAACTAGATACTAATGCCTCCCAAGGCTCTGAATCCAAGAAGCCTGCTCTTTGTTGCAGTGAGAGAGATGTTACCCAGCACCAAAATGGGGTGCTTTCTGTGGAATTATCAGAAGGATAAAATTGTAAAGGGAATGACATTTTCACTGTGATTCTGTATTATTCTGTGTTGTATACCACCTTAAATACTCTTGTGTGCCACCAGTGGTGTGGGTCCTGCTCTATGGAAACACTGAACTATACTAAGAGAATCAGAAGGTAACTTCTTCCAGCAACTCTTACTACTTTGTGGCTTTGAGGAGTTCAGCTCCTAGTATCTTAGAGAACTTGTTTGCTTTTTGATAACATTATAAAGGTTGTTCAAGCAGTTATGAATTAATAATATAGGAAGCACAGTTTGATTCCATTAGCAAAATCTGCAACTCTCCTGGTTTCGGAAGGTACCTTCATTAATGATTTTCTTTTGTTTTTAAAGAAAAGATTCCAAGCAAAGTATATATAAGGTACTAAAATTTGATATCCAGAAGACAGTAAACCCATTACATATAATTCATGTTACTAAGTGTATTTATTAAGCAGAATAATCCAGAGGGGTAAAGTCATTGAGCCACCATGTTTGCCTGAACCTGTATATGTAGATATGTCTGCAACTGTAAAATCTTGCTTAACTAGAACCTTTTAGGAGAATGAGGCAAAAGGAAGACAATAAGCTTGTAATATCAGGGATTTAATTAAAACAGGAAATTCCATTTTGGTTTTCTGACTCTAACAAAACTGCACAGAAATTATGTATTTTCTGAGAGCTACCCCAAGATAGACTACATGATCCTAAATCAGCAAAATAAAGTTGGTTTATGTTTGGCATTTTGTACTTACTGAGCCAGGAGAGTGAAGTGGTTCAGTTTAGAAAAATTTTTCTGAACTAATGGTTAAAACAAGAAGAGTTTTCTTGTAAATAGCCAGTCAACCAAGAAGTTGGAGCATTCTGTGATTTTGCTATATATTGATACTTTATAGCTCTCTTACCAGTTGGTTCAGTTTGGTTCTCCATATTACTGAATTATTGAAATATAGTTTGGTGTTTGGATCATTCAGCAATGACACTTTAAAACTCACCAGCTGTCTTTAAAGGCTTAATTTGTTTTTTTGTTTTTGTTTTGTTTTTTTCACCGCTATTTTGGATGATGGGATGTTTACATCTTAATGTAAAAAATGAAAATAGACATAAATAATGTTTATGTATAGAAATGCTTTCTTTCATTATTTGGTGTCTGCATCGCTGAGTGTTCATATGACTTCTCTGCCTCTATCATGTTGTTGCCTAAGAAACTATTAAGAATTTGGAATGAAAAATTTTTGCCATGAGTGTAAAGTTCTTAAGCTCATTAGGCTTCCAATGTGTATGATAGTAATATCTTCCATTTATACTATACTTTTAAGAACAAGTCTGCATTTACCTAATTATAATGAGTTTTGTAGTGTAGGAGAATAAGTTGCCTTTTTTTTTTTTTAAGATTTTATTTATTTATTTGACAGACATAGCGAGAGAGGGAACACAAGCAGGGGGAGTGGGAGAGGGAGAAGCAGGCTTCCTGTGGAGCAGGGAGCCGGATGCGGGGCTTGATCCCAGGACCCTGGGATCATGACCCGGGCCAAAGGCAGACGCTTAACGACTGAGCCACCCAAGCGCCCCAGTTGCTTTCTTGTCACATGTAAATGACTTATCTAGGGTCACAGAGCTAAGCACATACAACACCTTATCCCTTAGCTTTGGGGCTCTTCCGCACCAGAGTGGGAACTGATGAAGATAGCTAAGGTTGTACTCAGGGAATAGGTTTGTTCTTGGTAAAATCAGGGAATTGGGGACTTAATGAGCTCAGGCCTGGTAGTGTCAAACCTAGGTATCTATTAAGGTAATTCAGAAATACTGCTTTTTTATTAGGGTGTGCTGTGAAGGCATAGATGCTGTCTTTTATATCCTAAAAATAATTACAATATTTGCTTGCTTTTTTGGTCTGTATTTGAAATGTATTTATACCTGGCCTTTTTCCCAAAAGAACTTGAAGCATGATACCAAAATAAGACCTCTACAGCAATGGTAATAATATGAACAGAAAGGGAGAAAAACAAGATCAGTGAAAATGAAAGGAAAAGGGAACATGTTGCTGTTATCAAGTGTAAAATTTGACTCTTGAACTTCCTGCAAGTCACGGCTTAGAAGAAGGGGAACAAGTTTTGCATTGCACTAGCTTGCTCTGTAAGTCAGAGTACACCACTTCCTCAGGGGGGACTTCTTCCTGAGGGATTCTCGTAAAAATGTCGGCACTTGGGGCTCCTGTGAAATGCTAAAATGAACAGAATCCTCAGCTGTTTTAGACATTTGCATATTGTGATTGTGCCTTGAATCCTCAACTTGTACCAGCTTTCAGAGGTACATTTAAGAATTTTTGGTGTGGTTTATAGAGGATTTTGTTTCCATTAGGAAAAATTCTTATCCTAAGCTAAAATTAGGTATGTGTTAAAGCTTGAAAATCCATTTGAGACAAATGCTTGGAGACATGGAGAACCTTTAGCTAATTTTGTAATTTTATAATTTATATAAAGTGAATGTGCTGTCCCTGGATTAGCACATTTATTTTGTATTAAATGTGGTCTTTTTCATAGTGGAATCTAGTCTGGAGAAATGTCTGGCTCCATTTCTGTTAGGCCATGTCTGGAATCTCATTAGATTTGATTTGTCAAGCCTCCACAGAGCACATTGTTTGTATGAGCCTTCACCTCCGTGTCACGGAAGTGCTTCCTGCTGAGATTAGCAGCCCACCAAAAAGGGAGTTGCTTGGCCTTTATTCCAAAAGTTTTACTAAGGAAACTGGGGACCTCACTCTGAGCTGTTGGATTTCCAAGAGATACAACAGAATGCGCGCGCGTGCGTGTGTGTGTGTGTATGTGATTTTTATTTTAAGAAACTTATTTTAAAAGTTAGAGCTATCATGGAGTATGTAGTAAAAGAACAAATAAATTGCAGTTGACCTCGAACATCAAGTGCAGGGGTTAGGGGCACCAACCCCTCCTGTGCAGTCAAAAATCTATAACTACTTAACTACTAATAGCCTACAGCTTACTGGAAGCCTTACTGATAAGCAATTAACACATATTTTATATGTTATATGTATAATATGCTGTATTCTTACAATAAAGTAAGAGGAAATTTTTTTAAAAATCTTAAGAAAAATGCATTTATAATACTGTAATTATAAAAAAGTCCACATGTAAGTGGCCCTGCACAGCTCAAACCTGTGTTGTTCAAGGATCAACTGTACTTCCAAAGCAGCCAGCACTCGGATCGAATTGAACACTTAGCCTTACCACCAGTTATAGGTGACTCCTCAGGGCTGCCATCTTTGTCTATGGGCAAGCCTTCTTTGTATTTTTCTGCCTCATCATCTCTAAGGAAATGCTGATCAAACCTGATTTTTAGTTTTAATTGGCTTTAGTAATAAGCTACCTAAAAGTTACTCCAAGGGTGATGAATGAGTTTGTGTTGGCTGAGAATTTAAATTCGAATGGTTCTGTTGATGAGGGCTAGAGGTGTCTGATCATCTCCATCAGTGCTCTGAGACTGCTGTTGAATGCTGGCGTATTGCAGCCTCCTGTTTGAGCAATGAACTTTTCAAAGAGAAACTGTGGCTGCCACTACTGAAACCTCTTCCTTGAGTGGCCAGGCTCTCTAGATTACTTTATTTCACAGGTGAAGTCACAATGTTGAAGCACTGTGTGGTTGCAAGCCATGCGGCTGGTATCCTCCTGGCTCGTGAACAGTGATTGCTGTTGATGTGTGTGGGCGTGTTTTCTTCTGCATTGGCAGTGCTGGTGTGTAATAAGTAGTCTTACTTAGCACAGTTGGAGACTGTAGGAAACTCAAGGAGAGAACAGGCTTAGCTCTCAAAGAGTTCTTGAAATCAAAACCTAGCCTTACGGATTGTTCCTGCTCTTTCCTTGGTAACGAACCATATTCTCAGCCCCACCTTATGCACGGGTCCTGTTTGCGCTTGGCTCCTGCATCCCACAGCATAGCATGCAAGTGTCGCTGCATAGAAGCACAGTCAGGCTCCGTCTGAGTAGGAAGCAGGGCTCAACATTTCTCTTTCCCATTTGGTCCAGGCAGCCCCTCCCCAGCTCTGCCTTGATTGTTTGCCTGTTTTGTGCCAGTGCTTTTCTGTGAGGCTGGGTTGTCAAGGACCTTGCCTAAAGGTGAGCAAACAGTATGTGGCCTTCTACTTTGAATTCCTCCAGTGCCTGGGACTAATGATATGAATTCTTAGCGCCGTCTGTGGGCCAGGGCTAGGTCCTCCGACATGGTTAATCCTTACGGCAGCCTGGGAGATGGGCTAGCACTCTCTCATGTTCACCTGAGGAAACTTCACATTCAAACCTGAGATTCAGGCTTAAATGATTCAAAAGTTGGGGTTCATATTTCTGTGCCACAATCTCAGGAAGAATATTCCTTGTGAGTTTGTGTGTTCCCGACAACCACTGGGCTTTTACTGTTCTAGCAGCAGTGAGAACAGACAAAGCTGACATGGAGGGGAAATGGCACTGTGTTTGATAAGCACATCATCCTCCCAGAAAGCCTTTCTGTAGGCTCTCTTTTTTATAGACTAAGCATCTGAGGTCTAAAGAGGTTTAAGGACTTGAACTCAGTCACAATCTAGCTCATGTGGTGGCACCAAGATTTTATTCCAGATCAGTCTTACCCAGAACTCATGTTCTTAACCATCATGTAATATTAAGCTAGACAAAATGGAAATATGTTGAAATATACAAGGAATAAATGTTGGAATGTATATATAAGTAATCTACATTACTTTTTAAATAAGAGATTGGTCAGTGCTAACTCCTGCAGTGTGGATTTTCCTCTATAGACTGAGTAAAATAGTTTCCTAAAATTCCTGCATCTGTAATGGTACCTGGGGACATGTGGCTGCAGGA